CCGTGTTCTCCTCATCTCCCCTTCTCCTCACCCCCCCTCCCTGTGTTCTCCTCATCTCCCCTTCTCCTCACCCCCTCCCTGTGTTCTCCTAATCTCCCCTTCTCCTCACCTCCCCCATCCCTGTGTTCTCCTAATCTCCCCTTCTCCTAACCTCCCCCGTCCGTGTTCTCCTAATCTCCCCTTCTCCTCACCTCCCCCTCCCTGTGTTCTCCTAACCCCCCTCTCCCTGTGTTCTTCTTACTCCTCCCCCTCCCTGTGTTCTTCTTACTCCTTCCCCCTCCCTACGTTCTTCTTACTCCTCCACCATGTTCTTCTTACTACTCCCTCCCTATGTTCTTCTTACTACTCTCCCCCTCCCCATGTTCTTCTTACTCGCCTCCCTATGTCCTTCTTACTCCCCTCCCAGTGTCCTTCTTACTACCCTCCCTGTGTCCTTCTTATTCCCTCCCCAGTGTCCTTCCCCCCTCCCTGTGTCCTTCTTATTCCCCGCCCCCCGTGTCCTTTTTACTCCCCTCCCCGTGCCCTTTTTACTCCCCTCCCCTGTGTCCTTCTTACTCCCCTCTCCTCATATCCTTCTTACTCCCCCGCCTATGTTCTTTTTACTCCCGCCCTCCCTATGTTCTTCTCACCTCCCCTTCCCTGTAGCGTGGCTCAGGGTGCACTTCCTGTCAGTCCGGCCGGGAACAGGAAACTGAATCTCCTGTACCGCGTGTACTGCCGGACTGACAGGAGGAAGAGGAGCTCGGCCACGCTACAGGGAAGGGGAGGTGACGAGAGAGGCAGTGCTGCAGCCGCCTGAGGCTCTCTATAGAGCGCTCAGGCGGCTGCAGCCTTATAGGAAGTGCCGGCCCTGCTTGGGGGCCCTGGCCAGCTCGGGGCCCCAAGCAATTGCTTGGTTAGCTTGCCTGGTAGCGATGGGCCTGAGGATCGGCACGCTACGGGACATCACAATCCTATATCGGCACAGTGCTGCTAAAAGGTTGCCTACCCCTGCGCTAGAGGAATGCCTTTGGGGTACCTCATAAGCAACTGTTATAATAGTACGCACTACAAAAATAAAGAATTAAAAAATATATATTTTTTAAAAATGTGCCTTTTTTTAACCATGTGTTCAAATTTTATTAAAGACACGGAGGCTCCTATTATGCATATCTCTTTCTTTATTACTCTCAGCAGCAAAGAAATAGAGATAAATAAATAACTGAAAGAACAAAAAAAAAATACAGTGTTCAAGTAACCAATCACATAACAGAGGAAGTGACTATAAAATACTTGAAGCACCCACAATCCCCCTCTTTCTTTGCTGCTCTCAGACCAGTTAAGTACATAACTTTTTCTGCTCTGGGTTGTTATTAGTATTTTACCTGTACTGTGTTTACATGTTTTTTGATATTTTATATGTCTGCTCCTAGTTATTATATATCTTATTAGGAGCCTGTGTTTTATTTCGTTTTTATTCATTTTCTACCCCTGTGGTGTGTTCTCCCGGGGGAGCCGTCGCGGCCGCGTTAGGCAGTGCCGCCTCCCGCCCCCTCCCATCACGGCCGCGTTCTGCGGCTAGCCGCGGGGCTTTCCCCTGTCTCGGGGGATTTGTCTGTTTATACACCGGCGAGCCTCCGCTTACCTAGGCGGCGGCTCCCGGGTGTGTGTGCAGGTCGGGCCGCGCTGTGGTTACGCGTGCGCCCCCTCCCCCACCCCCGGCTACCCTCCTCCCTCGTGCGGCGGCCATCTTGCGTCCGTCGGTCTCACTCCCCTGCCGGTTGCCTCTCATCCCCTGAGGACGTGCTGTGCAGTTTTTTTTACACCACTGTGGGGTAGGATTTTGATATTCTATATATGTATATATATATTTATGTGTATTTATTTCAGTTTGATTTGATTTCATTTACTTTGTTTTTCTTTTGATTTCCAATGTGCTTATGTTTCTTTTCTGTTTTTCTTGTGGCTATCTTTAGCCCTGTCCTGTTCCTGTCCCTTTTGGGTTATTAAACCCTAATTCTGTCACTGTCATTTTTTCCTGTATACTTATATGCCATTTTTCGTTTTTGATTTCAGATCTGATTGTCATATTTTTTACTTCTCCTGTTTAACCCTCTCCTGTAGTCATGCAGGATAAGGGTGATGGTCCTGAGGGCCGTGTTACTGACTTCCATCAGGAGCTGCTTGAGGGTCAGGTCATTTCTGAGGAGTTCCAGGCTCTGATGGACTCCACCATGACGTCCTCTCTCCAGAGAGCGCTCGCCTCTGCTATGGGGGCTATGTCCTCCTCCTTTTCCCAGACTCTGGCGCAGTCTCTTTTGCTGCCCCAGGTGGCTAATCCTGCCCTACTGGGTACGGACCCTACTCCTATCC